ATGGTGCTCAAGTCCAAAAAGAGAGGGGATGGTGTAAATAGTTCGATGGAGGTGGAAACAAAAAAGAGGAAGGTGTATGTACAAGAGCGGCAAAATAGAAGAGGGGAGGAGGAAGAGGGAATAGCGAGTTGAATGAGAGCCTTTCGGGGTTGAGACCATTTCTCAGTTGAGAGAGCGCGCGCTTGTGTTGTTTGTTGTGGTGTGTGACGTCTTGTGCTAAATCGAAATGATGAATGCTCCGGTGCAGAAAGTGAAGGTGCTTTGTAGAAGAGGTGAGAAAGAGAGTTCATGTCATGTTCAAAGCAGCAGACTGTAGAATTTGTTCAGCTTCAGTTCTTGTCGGCGTCCACCTGCATTCGCCAGTCGTCCATTTCCTTGTCCAGGTCTTCGGCGGAGGGTGCCGGGCCACCGCCTCCTCCTCCTCCTCCTCCGCTTCTGCCGTTGTTGTCACGACGAGGGCCGCGATTACCACCGCCTCCTCCTCCTCCTCCTCCTGACATGCGATTTGAGGAGCGGTTGTTGTTTTGGTAGTGGTTGCTTCGATTTTGCTGGTGGTAGTGGTCACCGCCGCCGCCGCCGTTTCGACGATTGCTGTTGTTGCCCATTCGCAGAAACGACTGAAAGGGATCGTCGTCGGTCTCGTTCAGCATCGTAATTCGCAGTGGTTTGCCTGTTTGGGGTTTGGAAAAAAAGAGAGATTGTTTAGAATTAAACCTTTTAGTACAGTTTTCCAAGTCCCCCCAAATCTTACCGTCAAGCGGGACATTGTTCAGCTTGTGGCGCGCCTCGGTGGCGTTCTCCCGCTGCTCAAAGACGACGTCCGCCGTGCCCAGGCTGCTGCCGTGCTGGTCGTAGTGGACGGTGGAGCGGACCAGGTCGCCGAAGGTGGAGAAGAGCTCCTCGACGTCCTCGGCGTTCACGGTGGAGGCGAGGTTGGAGACGTGCAGGGTGCACTGGCGTCGACCACCGCCGCCACCTCCGAGGCCTCGACCACCTTCGAAGCCATTTGCAGAAGATCGTCCACGATAGCCGCCGCCATTGGAGTAGCCACTTCGGCTTTGCTGATAGCTTCGGTCGCCGTTGTAGCTGTTGGCCCGGAAGCCGCCGCCGGTGTTCAGGCGCTTCGGCTGGTAGCGGCCATTGCTTCCGCCGCTTCCTCTGGAGAAGTTGTCACGACGGCCACCACTAGGTGGTCCGCTTCTGCCGCCGCCCCTTCTGGGGCCCTTGATGCCGTCCAGGCGGATGATGTCGTCGAGAGACATGTCCAGCTTTCGGTTCTCAGCCATGGTCGGGTCGGTGCTCATGTAAGTCAGTACTGTGAGACGAGTTGAATGAGGGAAACTGTCTGAACT